AGGACACCTGCAAGTCCTCTAAGGAGTCAGAGAAGACCACTCTCCCGACCTGGATCTGCATCACTGCTCACCTCCTCAGAAAGTACCTCAAGAGCACCTTCACCACAGTCCAAAGAAAAAGCAGATGAAGTCAGTGTTGCCTTTTATTAATGACTATTAATCTGTTTCTTATACAGTATTGTAAAGTTGATATATATCTTATAAACGCTTTTGAATTTATTTATTTTTTCTTATTGTTGTTATGATTATTCTCTTTTTCAAAGTTCTGTGTAACTCTTCTTATGCATAGGTGTTACCAGAAAAGGTGCGCTCAATACTAGAAGAAGCGCGGGAGAAAATCTTGGAACTGGAAAGTGAACGTGATGAATTGCAGGAGCACCTGAGTGAGGCACAACAGGTGAGAATTTGTTTGGTTGATCTGATAGAGAGTTCCCATACTATTTGTTATTGACAGTATTGTTATGCTGCATAATGTTTGGGTAATATGTGATGTACATCATCTCTGAGGCAACCTAGACAACATATAAATACACACACACACACACATACACACACACACACACACACACACACACACACACACACACACACACACACACACACACACACACACACACACACACACACACACACACACACACACACACACACACACACACACACACACACACACACACACACACACACACACACACACACACACACACACACACACACACACACACACACACACACACACACACACTCACTCACTCACACACATGTTGATATGTATATATACATATAAATACATTCTTTACACAGATATACAGTTCCTGATTATGACTGAAACTTGCTTTTATAGAGCTGAAGTAAATGGACACATGTACATAACCAAAATGTAAAAATTAAACCTGTGTGTATATATGCAGGCTGCAGAAGACACTGAATATGAACTGCAGCAGAAGATATTGCATTTGGAGGAGGAGTTGTCGAGTCTCCGTGATGAGCTACGTGATCGGGGAGTGCGGGAAGAGAGGGATTCTGTAGCTGTGGTTCGTGCACAGCGGGAAGCACGAACTATGGCTGCACGTACTACAGCACTAGAGGAACAGCTCTCAGTTACTGAAGAGAAGGTTATTGCAGGGAAATCCAGAATTGAGTCTCTTCAGAGTGAATTAGGTGTGTTTTCAGTGAAATAAGCATGATGTCTTATGAGTGGTTGCACGTAATTGTGCATGGACTGATTTTATTTCTCTTGATAACATATTTTTAATGAATATTATAATACTCACAGTGGAATTTATATATATGTATGTATATATGTATATATGTTGCTAAATAGTGTAGTTCATCTGATGTGACTAAGTTCTTTGAATAGCTAAAGTTATTCAAGTATGATATACTTTACCTTTTATTTTATTCTAAACTCTTGTAACCTTGACTCGTCATTTATCTCCTGAACAGAGAGAATGACAAGCAAACTTTTAGCAGCAGAAAATAATTTGCGAGAACAACAACAAGAACATCAGAGAACAACCGGACAGTTACAACAAACTAATGAGAAGTGTGACATATTGAAGGTAGGAATATCGTTATTTCTGGCCTTTTATCTCTATTCCTCTAAAAAGCTCATTATCTTTAAGGAAGCAATACGATTGTATTTTCTTTGTTTAGGTAATTGTTTGAAAGGATGAATGATTATTAAAGTATAAAGTGAGAATCAGTAATTTATGATCTTTAGAATGTTAAAGACTTTTAGAGTATTACTATTTTTGGCAATGGTAAATAGCCATGACATTATCATTTTTTTATTTTAGCGAGAAAATGAACAACTGCAAAAAGAAAATGACAGACTGTCAAAGCTCAGCTTATCAGTAGAGCAGCGTGGCTATCCAGCGGAGATACAGACTTTGAAATCACATGTTGAACATCTAGAGGCTGCATTACAGGTTTGCATTGTTGGCATAATTTATGGTATTTTAATTTCAGTAATTACAATCTGTGAGGATTACAACAAAATCCTTTATAAGGTTTGATGAAAATTTCCAGTAATCCTGATTACTTTTCTTGCCAATACTTTCTTGTTGATATTTTGTTTTACTTTAAAATGTTGCTTTAACTACAGATATATGTTTGTGATACAGACTGATCTCAGTGAAAGAGGGAATCTCTTAGAACATATGACCCATGACAAGGAAGAACTTGCTAAGGCAGAAGTCGAGCTAAAAGAACTTCAGACGCAAAACTTGGTGCTGAAGGAAGAGCTGGAAAAGGCGTCGCAAAAGCTTAGCATATATTCCAAGGTAAAGAGTGAGAACAAGGTGAAGAGTGAGATCATTTCAGATAGCTTAGTAAAAGCTGAAGCTAATATATTTTAGGGAGTGATGGCTCATTTGATAAAGATAATATGTAATCCATTTTGCAGGCAGGATTGCTGAACATGACCCCAGAAGAGCTTTCAGCAGCCTCCAGGAGAGAAAAAGAAGAAAATGCTAATAAAATATCAGCAAGGGTTAGTGTCAAATTATATCATTGTAGGTTAATTGTAGGTTCCAGATACGGTGATATTTCTTTATATATTTAATATTTTACTAAAGACTTCTCTCATTGATAGGAATTTGGAGATCTGAAGCAAGCACACAGTGAGCTGCAGTTGTTGTATCGAGAAAGAACGCTGGAATTAGAAAAAACTGCAGATGCTCTTGCTTTGCATGGTGATACATACAAGAAGTTACATAAACAAGTATGTTATTTTTCCCTCAAAAGGAGTTTTGAAGATGAACAAAAGTAATACATTGTTTCTTCATAGAATTATTTCTTATGAAGTTCCACTTTTTTAAGGTTTTACGGGTTATGAAGTGATACTTCTTTAGCATTATATATACAAATTCATGCAATATAATGTTGTAGATTATGCCTTTTACTGTTTAAAACTGGATTTGTATCAGCAAAACTCATTTTTCCTTCATTTCTCTAGATGGACCATATGGCTCAAGAAGCACAAGACAAAGAAAAACAATATTCAGTCTCTGTCAAGACGCTGACAGACACAATAAGAAGAAGAGATGAGCGAATTGAGAAGCTAGAACAGCAGATGTTGACCCTCACTGACAAGAACATTAAAGAGAAGGTCGAGGAAGTTGGTTGTGACTTTTCCCAGTCATTGAAGCTTGGAAAACATGACAATTTATTAGAGTTCCACATTGAATGCATGGTGTTCGAGACTCCTGCCTTCAGTCATCAAAAGACTTTTGTGTCCTGGACTGTCCCCTTTTCTCTTGAGGATCCATTACAACACACTAATGTTGGTATTGGCACACTTGCAAAATATAATCATTCCTCGCTTTACAAGATACACATGAATTACAGAAATCTTGACTCCTTGAAAAATGAGATAGTTACAGGTAAGGAATGCCATGAAACTGAAGTTGAGAGAAATAACTGATAATTTGAATTATGTTATACTTTATTTCTTGAATGAAAAATACTATACTTAATTGTCTGACTATGAGTTTAGGGAAAGTGGAGCCACAAATATAACAGCTAGTCTTACTTTTGTTTCCCTCAGTTAGTGTGTACATTCTCTTAGACTCGGGTCATCCTGCTAAGGTAGGAGAGTGCCAAATAACGTTTTGTGAAGTATTGGATCACCCTCGAAACACACTGCATGGCACTGTTCCTGTGCTATTAGCCCATGATGATGCAGATGAAGCTCAGCATCTGCCTTCAGGGCTAGATATTCAGGCAGGACAGGTAAGATTTGTTTTGGTACTGGCCTGTGAAATACAGATTATTTGCAATTGGTTAAGTTCATATGTTTGAGAAGTATTATAGAATTGAGATATTCATCATCTTTTGAATTTAGCAGGTCTGTTGGCATTAATATAATATGGAAGTTGATTAAAGCTAAAAACAATAGATTTAATTTTTAGATCAGTTCATAAGGAATACAAGTAATGTGATATCATATTTTCTCCCAAAGGTGATTGGAACACTGAAATACTGGTTCCGGTTGCAGCGACCATCAGAAGAAACTATTGCTCTCAGTTTTGCGAAGTGTTGGTGTTTTGTGGTGCTCCCCAAAGGAATGATCAGGTTCCAAAATTTATGTTTACTAATATATATATATTATATATTATATATATATATATATATATATATATATATATATATATATATATATATATACATATACACATACATATATATTTTTTTTTTCTTATTTTTTCTAGTTCATGTTTATGCAAAATTTTGCATTATTGAGCTCATATCCAGAGTTACAGTGATCATATAATATAGCAGTGTTATTTGTTCTTTTATAAAATTATATTCAAGATAAGCAAGTTGTCATAATTGCTCAGATTTCTATTTAAGGTATTCCTGACAAAATAAGCCAGGTAGTGGTTCATGGTCTCCTGAATGTAGTAACCCTTTTTCCAAAATATTCATTTTATAGTTTTTAGAGAGGTGCTTATTAAAGCCTTAGCTAATTCATGACACCGGCTGTTCTCAGCCCTATATGTAATTTTGTAACATATATCTTAGTGCAATATAATTCAAGAACATGGTAGATTATACAGACCTTGTTTGACTGATGTTTTTTGATAAGGAATGTGGAGCTGGTCATGGAAACCTTTGTTTATTTGATTCACTCTCTCTGATGTTGTTTGGATGTTTGTCTGCTTTTGTGCCTTCGTCATTTCTCCCATTTTTTACAGATGAATTTGATGATGCAAATGCAGCAACATTGGCCTAAGACTTACATAGTTGAATAGTAAAACTTAAATTCTTATGTTAGGTTTCTTCTTCATGATTATATTTTGCTGCCTTTTTGGATTAGTGAGAAGAGAGAGAAGTAATACCTCTAGTGTACAGGCTGTTAATATGTTCATGTCTCAGTCCAGAACTTATTACATGTTTACTCCAATTCTCACTTGATTTTACTCTATAGACCTAATTTGGTATTTTTTGTTCTAATCTTACTTAAAAAATTAGAAATTCATTTTAAATGTACGAAAAAAAAAACTTAAAAACTTATTCCAATACAAGACACTTCTGATAGATTCTCAAAAATTCTCAAAACTATATATATATAAATATGTGTGTATATATAAAATAGATAATTAGATAAGATAGATAGAGGTAGGATTGATTGATAGATAGATAGATTGATTTGTTTGGGATAGAGAAGCTTTGCAGTTAATAGAGAGTTTTGGGTTAGGAAAGTGGTTTAAAGGGAGAGTTTAGTTTGTTTATATTTTTATATTAACCTGTACATGAAATATATTACAGGATTCTAAAATCATACAATCAAAAAATCCAATCAAGAGAAAAGCAAGTCTTCAGGTGGAAGAGGAAAATTCAGGCAAGCATCACCAAAAACCTGGTGTGCATAAAGAACCTGATGAAGAAGAAATAACTAGAACAAAGCATCCCATTCCTGCACCAAGAGCACAATCTCGCATGAGTAATTTGCACAAAACCCAAGACACTTCATCAAAAGCGGATATCTCCAGTGAATCTCAGGAAGAAATAGGCCAGTCTCCTCACCATACAGAAGACCACAAGCAGGAAAGCAGAGTATCTTTCCGGACTCGATCAGAGTCTTGTAGTTCAACAGGTACTTATAACATTGGGAGTCCAGTCCATGTCCATGAAGTTAGTCAAAAGAGCAGCAGTGATGACAGTGGCGGTACTAAGAATGCAGCAAGTGAGCAGGTTGCACCCCATGCAGACTCCTCTTCAAAGGTCAATGAATCAAGTGGAACAGCACACGTTAAAAAGCAAATTGTGCGACCTAAGACAGCAATCAGACGTGGACAAGGTTCATCTCAGATTGATAAGGGTGTTATAAGAAAAAGCCCAGTACAAGTCCGGGAAAAGGTTAGTTCTCAGTAGTCCTTACTTTACTTGATGGTAAATTTGAGTGAATAATGAATTTTGTAATATTCTTATCAAAAGTTATTGCAGCTTCTAATGATTTCCCCCAAATCTGCTATGCCACTCATTTGACAAGTAAGCAAAATTGAGGCTAAATGTTTTTAAGCATAGTAATTGTTTTCATACATACCCCCACACACAGATTATCACACCAGAATGAACAAATAATTTTACTCTCAGACTCCTCAGCAAGGACTGGGCCAGAAGCCTGAATGTTTATCTCAGGAAGAAAATGACAGTGATACCATGTTTGAAGAATCTGAAGAAAGAATCATCAGAGGTACTGAATACTGAAGATCCAGAGTCTCATCTGTGGAATGGAAGGCAGAGGGGTGTGTATTTTCCAAACCTTCCTTTGGTTTGGCTGTGTTCATTGTCCTTTATCCGAGCTGCTGGGCTGGACCTTATATGGTTTTTAGATTGAAGGAAAAAAAAAATGCTTAATTGTCCCATGAACTGCATAGAAAACAGATTTAATTCATAATCAGCATTGTTGCTTGTAAAACTGCTCACATCATTTGGAATTACAGTGTCTCATTTTTTTCTATTTTTAGGACCACCTGATGAGGATGAAGATGATGAACACACCAGCTCTGAAATTTATGGTACAACTTCCAACAAGGTATTATGAGTCTTCTTCACTATTCTTGAGATCTGGAGATATATAAAATTTATAGAAAGCCAGTCTCATCAAGCAGATTGAGATAAAATTTATTGACTATTATTACTACTTTTAGCTTTTAAGCTTTTTATTATTGTTTTTTCTCCATATATATTGTTAATTACTTTATGAATAACTATTTTTATCTATGTGCTATATGGATAGCAATATAGGATATGATTAATACATGTTTTACACATGTAAACATAGTATAGTATGTGTGTGTGTTTTGCTTTATTTTAATAATTTCTCTAATTTGTTACAACAGAACTATATTTCAATTTGAACTTTACATCTCCTATATCAGGTATTTTATAAGATTTTGGCATTACCCATATTTTGTTATAAATTACACGGTATATTGAGTATCGCACATTATATAGATGTGTGATATACATCTATTGCCCTAATACTATGTAAATTGAACATTTAATTGCACTGATCCCGTATTTAAAAATATGCTGTATGTGTTCTTATTTGGAAGCATTTTTGCTTATTTTTTTACCATATTTTTAACAAAATGAAATATTCACAGAGAATATCAAACAGAAGAGTACAGGAGCTGCAGTCAAGGAGCAAAAGTAGCTCCAGTAGTCAAGGAACAGAAGAGCAGTCCTCTCCAACACACTCCAATATTACAAGTGATTCTGAAGGAGTTGTGGCTGTGCTTCCTAAAGCTAAGAAGGTTATACATTGACTTGTTATAGTTGCAAGAGAGGACTGACTGTGTTGGGTTATGGAAACTTTTTTATATGTTTTGCCTCTTGTTTACTGTTTCTAATTATTCAGTAAATTTAGAAGCAACTTCCATGAGGAATTATAGTTTAGTATCTTAATGAATAGAATGATGAATGCACCATGTCTTTTTATTGTGTATACATATATTGATAGAGAGGAAAATTATGTGAGCACTGAAACTATCCATATTTATTCTATACTTTTTCTTACAGACCAAGCAATCAAAAGTTTATGTTGAAGTATGCAGTCTGACTCTTCACAGCGATTCAAGTATATCACAGGATCCAACAGTTGAACTCCTCTTTGTTGACTATCACGGTTTCCTTGGCCTTCCGCCAGACCAGCTCGAGACTCCTCACTCCCTCCCTAAGCCTCCTCCAGGATGTGTGATCAACTTTAATTTTGGGCAAGGTAATTACTATTCCATATACATTTCCCATATTTTCTTGCTCTTTTTTTCTGTTTTCTTATGTATTGGAAGCTTTTGGGAAGAGCCAGATTATGAAGATATGCATAAGAAGGAAACATGATGCAAGAGAAATATAGGTATATGTCAGGAATATCTGTGAATATCAGAGATTGATAATGATAGTGCCTGCAGAAAAACATTTAAGGACATGTAATGTAAAAAAAAAAAAAAAGGAGATATTAACAAGTGGTTTCACAATAGAAATACTGCCAACATGTTCGTGTGGACTCAGTGGAAAAGGTGTAAATTGTTAAAATCCTTTAACTATACTACTTGTTAACAGAAAAATACTATTGATCTCTACTCTTGAAAAGCATTCAGTGTTCATCATATAAAATATATATATATATATATATAAATATATATAATATATATATTATATATAATATAGTATATATATATATATATTTATATATATATAATAATATATATATATCTATACATATATATATTACAATATATCTATATTATATTATATATTTATATATACATATTACATATTACATATATATATATACATTAGTACATATATCATATATAATATATATATATATATACTATATATATATATATTATAATACATATATCATTAATTATTATATACGTATATTACATATATAGTACATATATATCAATATATATTCATTATGTAATCTATTGTATATTATATATGTTATAAATATGTTATATATATGTATATATATATATATATAATATATATATTATATATATTATAATATATATATATATATATAATATATTATAAATATATATATATATATAATTTATAATATATATATTATATATTATATATATATATATATATATATATGTGTATATTATATATAATATATATATATATATATATTATATATATATATACATATATACATATATATATATATATATATATTTATATATATATCTATGTATGTATGTATTATAAAATAAAGTGCTGTCAATTTAATTTAACTAAATAAACCATTGTATTCCAGTAAATATATTGGACTGTGATTTGACATTCTTATATTATCTATCTTTTGCAAAATAAACAAAAGGTAATTGTTAAGTATTGCAGGCATCTTGTAAACATTAAAGATTTTTTTCTTTTTGGTTAAATCATGACATTCCCCGCTAAGTTTGTAATAATTCAGTTTATACTTCATATTGCATGCCTTAGAATCTATTATCTGGTATATACCATACATATAATGTAAATGAATATAATTTTCTTAGAATAATAAGAGAGTAATAGTGAATTTATTTTGTTTGCACATACAAAAAAAGTAATGCTGCATCATTTTGTTCTCAGAATTTAGTATTGATGAGAAAATGTATCCATCTCGACTGAATCTCTGAATTTACTTAATAAGAAGAACCTCGGGGTATCATCAAATTTTACTGTGACTTCAGAGCACCTGAACCCTTTTATCCTGTAATTTCAGTGAGTCTATTGTTTTTTTTCTCTTCTTCTTATCAAAGTAAGATTTAAAGATAGTATTTTTCAGTTTTATAGATATTAAAGAAAATTATAGTATATTAGGCAGACTTCATCATAAGAATTGAGCGTCTTTATCAAAGTCTTTGTATTCAGACAAAATTAGTCCAGATATGGATTTCTAAGATATAGTTATGAATTGCATCGTTTATGTGCTTTGTAACAGGCTCATGTTTTTTTTTTTTTTTTTTTCTGATAAGACTATAGTCATTTAGATTTCCCCACTTTCAGACTAAAGTCACTTATTTTCCTACTTTTATCCACTTATTGATTCCCATGTTATTTCTTGGGTATATTTCAGATATGCATATGTGAATCTCCATGATTTGCTGAAAAGAGGACAAGACCTCCATGAATCTCCTTTAACAGTGAAAAGTGTAGAAGATGGTAGTCAGCTGGGTACACTGTGTATCACCTTAGTAGTAGTTGATGTCCTTCGGAATTTAAAAAAGAATGGCTTAATTTAAATTGGTTTCCTATGTATCTCTAAAACTGAGATGTCAAAAATAGATGAAAGACATGAATTAAGCCTACTTTTGATTCAAATCTGGTCAGTCAGATGAAGATGTCACTGAATATGGCTATATATTGAAATGTATAGAGTAATATTGTGAACATACTTCATTTTCATCATATAACAAAGAATTGTAGATGTAATTGCAAAAGCTTTTGCATAATTACATTGATTTAATTATCATTTATTTGTCACAGGTGAGTGACAAATTAAAATGGTAGTGATAAGTGCTTCCCACAAAATGAAAGTTCGCAGATGTGTTCTAGGTCTTCGTATACTTGGCATTTTATATACATTTTCTTTGCTACGGTAAATAGTCATCTCAGATTGTTCTTTATTTCAACTTATACCAATTATACACAAGAGACGGGGGCAAGAGGGTTTAAAATTGAATCGCTTCATATCAGTAATAGTGAATATATATATGGACTTTTCAGGTACATCTTCCTTTTTTATGTAAACTAAGGTCATACACATTTGACCAATATAATAAGGTATTTTGCCTAAAAAAGAAAGCTTAATTGGTTCACAGAAATAGTGGAAAAGGTGTTAGATAACTTTTCTTTCTTTTTTTCCTTATGAAAACAGAGAAACTTTACCAACATAATTTGTAAAAACAAAAACAAAAACATAATATAAGGAACCATGTGAATGATGAATGAGTTTGAGTATCAGTATTTAAGCTAAGGCATTTCTGCTGCTCTTTCATAGAGAATTTTGATATAAGATTTTATACAGTTTTGTATATATATCTATATATATCTGTCTATATCTATCAATCCATTTATCTACTTATTTATTTCTCTCTCTTCCAATATTTATATATATACACATATATATGGGCATGGGTTTTCAGATTCGGTTTAAATTTAAGTGTTATTACCAATCATGTATTCTAAAATTCTCGTATTTTTGTGCCTGTCATTATTTTGCTTCATTTATGTAATTAGGGTCTTTATATTGTCACCTTCCTGTGGAGCATCAAGTTTTACCTTGCCAGTGATGCTCCTGCATCACAATGCAGTCATTCTCAGGGAGGAACAAAGCAACTGCACTTATTTTTCACTAACTCTGTTACTTTATAATGGAGGATAACTCATGAACAGTGGCATTTTGCTACATTTCTCCTATGAAACACACACCTGTATAACACACTGCAATGCTTTCTAAGTAAGACACTTATCTCTGGTTCACTGGCTGGGAAGCATATGAGAAAGTTAATTAAATCTTTTTCTGAGAAAATGCAAAAAGTTATAATTAACTAACAAGACCTTTTAATTTCAGAGAACCAGAAAAAAGTTTGTGGCTTAAATCAGATTTTGCATTTTCCGAGTTTCTTATAGCACTGTGATATTGTTGAATAACACTGTATATACTTTTATTAAAAAAAAAAAAAAAAAAAAAAAAAAAATTGTATTTTTGTGCCCACCATTCAGACAGTATAAAAGATATACAAATAATTATTTGCAGACAAGCCCAAAATAAACAAGCAAAACACACACAAATTAATCTACCTTTTGACCTTTTGATCACTAATGGTATGAAATCCAACAATGGCCGAGGTGGACAGTCATAGAAAGCACCATATCAGGGCATACTCTCCACCATTAGGTCTTCAGTAGCAATATCATTTGTTTAATGTCTCTATTATAAACAGGCACCTGAAGTGAAGGGAAACCTTCACTTAACTTTTAAAAACTTTTGCTTGTAAAATACAGCTACTTGTTATTTCATACCTAATGTTGTGCCTGAAATACTTATCCAGCTGGGTGCAAATGGGGGAAACTGCCAATTTTTAAGACAAGGTAATGGGTTAAGAAACTGGTTTTCCTTGCATAGTCAGTTATGTTTAAGAATAATTGTGAATGTTAATATGTCATTTAATGCCATTGTATGGTGTTGGATAAGTATAGATAAAGTTGTGGCTGGTGGGTGCATTCTTGGCATTGAGGTTCTCAATGAAACTGTTGAGTAATTGCATTCCTCTTAAGTTATGAGTTTTGAGGCTTAAACAATTTTTTTTTAATACAGATCTTAAATTATGTAATTAAACTTAGAAATTCTGCAGCATCTCGGAAAAAAGTTTTACCAACTAAAAATTTTTCACTACTGTAAAAATAAAATATGGTATCATGCTTATTATACTTTTTTTTGTCTAGTACCATGAACTGACATGTCTTTGATTACAATATTTTAAGCTGCATTATGCATCATGTAAATGATGGCATTAAAACATTGGTGTGTGCTACACTGCCTGGGCTATTATTCAGCTCATAGCTGGGCTCCTCAAGTGTTATCCCACCAGGAAGTGGTCACATAAAATTAGACATCATACAGCTCTATTTTTTGTCAGCACAAATTGATTAAATATATACTTTTTGCTTCAAAAAGGCTGCCAATCTAAGTATATGCAACTTTCAAATTCTGGAATACACTTCCTGAAAGTAGAGGTAAGAAGATTGGTAAAAATGCACTAACTACAAAATTGTTTCAAAATCTTTATGGTTACTAAAAGACAGTTTAAAGTATAAACTTTTATTTATAAAACTTTACAACCTTAAAACAAAATACATGACTCTTATAAAAATAACCTGTTTTACAAAATGACACTGATTCTATATTTTTATCAACAACTGAGATTATGCTCATGTTACTATCATATAGACTAACTTTGCCTTTTCTAAGGACAATTATCAGTCTCATTAATATCTTCCTTAAAAACTAAAAACATTTGCATATTTATTCATGATAAATGTTCAAGTAATTTATTGCACACAGCATAGCAGCTACGTGAAATTAACATGAACATTTCCTTTTGAACTTATTCATCATCCTCATCTGATATCATTCCATTCTTGCTTAAATTTGATGAACCTTCCCCTGTCTCAACTTCTGGCTTGGTTTCCTTTTTGTCTGAGGAACTGCTGCTGCTGCCTTCTCCTTCCTGGGGTTTGGGAATACATTTGAAAAAGCTCCCAATTCCCTTCTGCCATTCTGGTGTGGGCTGCGGGTTGTAACTGTTGCCTCCAGAGTATCTGCAAATTGGGTAACAGCCAGAGAGGTAATTAGTAATTAATGGAACTTTGGAATTTTAAAGTTATTACCTTAAATAGTGTGGGACTGTATACTATAAGCTCTAGTACATTTAGTTCATTTCTGACATGGCACCAGGAGCATGCATTGGAATCACTGGTGACTATGCACTTCTAGAGCCATATACAAACAACTACACTAAACAGCATATGGTGTTAATGGATTATAAATTAGAAAGAAAAGTAAAGCAAAACAATAAAAAAGGAGGAAGCCAAAGCTTACTTCTCTTTGCCGCTCACTCTTCCAGGTGATGAGAAAGAACTGCCTGCTCCTCCACTGGGGGCACTCAACACCTTTCTTGGTGCTTTGGCTGCAGACACCTTGGTTGGTCCAGCATCAGCTCGAGTCCTCACCATTTTGATCTAATTCTGAAGTGAGAAATGAGGATTTTATATATTTATTTCATATGTCAGCAGTATGAAAGATTTTGTAATTGACTGCATGATATTTATCTGCTGCACCAACACCACAATCACAAATAACTAATCAAAATATTTCGTCCATTTGTCATTCATTATAACCACAAGGTAAAAAGATATGAAAAGACAGTGATGATATCAATGCAAAATAATCATTAGTAGTTTATATCTTAAAAATTAATTATATTTCTAGTATTATATGCTTTAGATCTTTTTCCTAGGGTGAGTGACTACCACCCTCACATGTTCAGAAAATTAAACATTTGCTTTTATGGTGAACAGGACCCTGCACAGAAAAGAAAGGACCCAAAATGAGACTAAAAATATATATTGGCAGAATAGAAAATTATATATTATCGGATGTTACTAGTCACAACAGTTGCATTTTGTGTTAGTAGGGGATAGCAACAAAAATATATGATCTAATAAGCTTCTTAGTTTTTTAGCTATGGCTTCTATGTAAATTTATTGATTTCACTAATTCTTGTGGGAAATGTGTAAAAAATAATACAATATGACATTTGGTTAATATTATACTTACCAAACATTTCAATGAAATTTTCTTTGTTATTGTAATTTGCAAAATACAGAATATACAGGGTTAGGCCTCTCATTTCAATTTTTTCACAAATAAAAAAAAATAAATTTTCACAATTACTTCACATAACTCATCTCAACAATTTTGTTATCAATGAATTCCTTTCACCCTCTAGTACAAATATGTAGTAATTATGCCACAGAACCCAGCATCTTCTTGGTCCCGATAGCAAGGGAGGGCATGAAAGGTACCAGGGAAATTGTGGGTAAAATATGAATAATATACACAGAATCACTTGCTCTATCGTTTGCATATATTATTTTTCAACTAAAAGGTGGCTGTATGGAACTTGACTTGTACCCACATTTTTTAACCACAATTTCCTTGGCACCTTCCATGCCCTGCCCTGCTATGTCCTTGAGAACTGAAACTCACATATATTTGGAGAGCAGAGAGTCCGAGGAATCCATCAATGCCACAATTATAATTTTTTATTTTTTTTCATTTCATGTTATTGTAGCTTTGTGGTGCATTTGCAAAAATATTGCCATAGAAGAAGTGTTTTGGTGTATATCGTATATTCTATCATTTTAAATAGGTTTTATCTCCAACTAAGGCACTACCTCGTTCTAAATAGTCCTCATATTCTAAAAAAAAATACCAAAATTGTTATCCTCTACGACTGTTTGCAGGTCATCTCGTGTAGGTTTGTCAGTAATGTTTCCTGTTATTAGAAAGCAGACAATAATCTTGTATTATTGGAAACTAGCAGTGAATTGTGTTTTAATGTATTAATGTAATTTCATTTACATTTTTCAGTTGCTTCTGATATCAACCCTGGTTCGTTATTCTTCACTTTGTCTTAACAATCGCCCAAAATTACGAGAAAAAATGCAACAATTATTACTTTGTCTTTCACAAGCCTCCGAAATTCTTTATCTTCCCTCTCGTGTATTTTTTTTCGTTAAATCCCTTCTAACACGTCTTCATTCTTACACAGAATCGTGGCTCACCTCTTTACCTGTAGCTCCTCACTCTCACGCGGAAAATCCCTTCGTTCGGCGCGATTCTGGGCAGATTTTTGGTCAAATCTCGAAATTCCTCGTCTCACTTTCAGGCGGGAATCGCGGTCTTCGAGGGATGAGTAA